AGTTGTGGTGAATGTTGTATATGGTACTTTAGTACATTAATCTCCCTTTTTTTCTTTTTATCCTTTGTTTAAATCAGTCACCCAGTGAAGTTTATTCTTGGAAGAGGCCATCATCTTTGCATAAACCAAATGTCACTGATACGGCATTCTATGGCAAAAAAAAGAAAAATGGGACTCCAAAACAAAGCAATTGTGTGACTCTTTTAGATACTAATCAGGTAGTCAGGATTTTGCCCCCAGGAGAAGTCCCTCTAAAAGATGTCTACCCAAAAGGTAAGAAATTTACCAATTTTTAATTTACCAAGGTGGCTGTTGGTAGCTTGCTTTTGGTAGGCGATATTTAACTCTTCATTCTCATTTCGTATTTGTAAAGATAGATCATCTGACAAGTCTACAAGTAACTAAAAAGACCCATGTGTATTGAGAAAGTTCTCACACATTTTCACAGTGTATGATTACAGCCACTGCTGTTAGAACTCATCTTCATTCTCATTGCAATCTATACAATAACTTTGCTTAGAACATATTTTCGAAGAGCCTTTTAGAAATGATTAGGGTATTAGGAATAGGAACTAGGGCCTTTTGTCTTAGACTCCTAAGACTGAAGGCCAGGGACTTACTATGCAGACTGATTCACTTATCAGTGTTCTCAAAGTCAACTTATATTTATTACTACATAACGTATCAAGTCCCGTGCTGATTATTTCTCCTTGGATAAATTCACTTAATCTTCAGAACCCCTCCTGTTGTTACTATGCTTTGTAATTTATATGTGAAAATGTCCTAACACAGAGGTAAAATAACTGGCCCAGGATCACCCCACCAGTGGCCAGCAGAGCCCAGATTTCCACCATAATCTTCTAATCTCAAGTCTAGAACCATTCTCATTGAATCACACTGGCATTCATCATAATGGATAATTATGAAAAATTTTGATAATTGAGTTGTTGGCTATTATTTTTTGCATCATAGTGGTAGTAATGTGTCATCCTGTGTTTATACTTTTTATATTAGTGTGGACTTCTCAAATATAATGCTAAATGTATTGATACTATAATAGTCTATTACCAGATTTGAAAAGTCCTGGTTATAATGATAACATTTAGAATTACGTCCTTCCAAACTGAAACTCATGGAAAATAAATCACCATTTCCTTAAAATGTTTTTTTATGGTAGAAGAGGTAGATATATAAGCTGTCAATTGCAGTACAGTGTAATAAATGCTATGATAGGAGGATTTACAAGGTGATACATGAACACAAAGGAGAAGCTTACAACCCAGACTGGGAATTATGAGTAGACTCTTGAAAGATGAGTAGGAGTTAATCAATTGAAGGAATTGGTCCAGGAAAGGTGCAAGGACTTGGCAGAGCATTTCAAGAATTACAAGAAGTTCTGTACCAGAGCTTAGTGCACCTTCATTTACACAGAAACCTGGGCCTCTTCACACTCATCCTCCACATCTGATTCATCAGCAATCACCATGTCCTTTTGATACAGCCTTGCTAATAAATCTTGTAGGTACCCGCTTGTCTCCAGCTCTATTGCCACATCCCATCCAAAGCACCACCATCTTGCACTAGAATATTGCCATGGCTTCCTGACAGTGTTACCTCTTCCACTCTTTTCCCCTCCTACCTGTTCTTCACATATCAGACAAAGTGATATTTTTAAAGTACAGTGTACATTTGTTCTTATTAAGGTCTAGTTTATATACAGTAAAATTCACCCTTCTTAGTATGTAGTTCTGTAAGTTTAACAAACACAAACAATTGTGTAACCACCACCACAACTGATATAGAAGAGTTTCATTATCCCAAAAGTCTCCCCCATATGACTTTGTGGTCAACCCCTCCACCTACCTTCATCGCACCACTGATGTGATTTCTGTCCTTATAGATTTGCCGTTACCAGAATATCACATGAATGGAATCATACCATATGTGGTCTTTTGAGTCTGGCTTCATTCACTTCATATAATGTATCTGAAAATCATTTATGTTTTGTGTACCAGTAGTTTGTTTCTTTTTATTACCAAGTGGTTGTCTATTATATGGGTGTATCACGGTCTGTTTATCCATTCACTAATTGATAGATATATGGATTGTTTCCAGCCTTTGGCAGTAATGAGTGAGGCCACTATAAACATTTGTGCATGTGCACAGGTTTTTCAGTGAACACAAGTTTTTGCTTCACTTGGGTAAATATACCTAGGAATGGCATTTTTGCATCATTTAATAAAACTACCAAACTGTATTCCAAAGTGGCAACACCATTTTTCATTCCTATCAGCAATGAATGAGAATCCACTTGCTCTGCATCCCTGCCAGTATTTGGTATTGTCAGTTTTTCACCATTCTAATGGGTGCATAGTGATATCTCATTATGATTTTAATTTGCTTTTCCCCTAGCACCTAATGATGTTAACATTTTATCATGTGTATCTTCTTTAGTGAAATATCTCTCTAGATCTTTTGCCTATTTTTATATTGGGTTATTTGTTTTCTTATTAATTAATTTGCAGTATCTTTAAATATTCTAGATACAAGTCTAGTGTCAGATATATACTTTCCAAAATTTTCTCCTATTTTGATGAGGGCAAATCTTCTGTGTTTTCTTCTAGAAGACTTATAGTTTTGGATTTTACATTTAGATTTATCATCCATTTTGAGTTAATTTTTTACATGGTACAAGGTATGGATTGAGACTCTCTTTTTTTACATAAGGATTATTCAGTTATTCCAGCACCGTTTGCTTAAAATACTGTCCTTTCTCTGTTGAATTGCTTTTGGACTTCTGCTGAAAATCTACTGCCCACATATTAGTGGGTCTATTTCTGGATTCTCTATTGTGTTCTATTGATTTGTACATCTATACTAATAATATCACACTCTCTTGATTACTTTATAGTTTTATGCTTTATAATAAGTCTTGAAATCAGGTAGATCTTCCTTCTTTGTTCTTCATTTGCGAAATTGTTTGGTCAGAAAATACTATTTTAAAAATATGACTCAGGTCATGTTATTGTTAGGATAAAGTTTAAAATTTTAACTTGGGCTAAAGATCCAGCACGATTTGTCCATTACATATCTTTCTGGCTTTCTTTTGCTAACTTGAATTCACAAAGTTCCTTCCCAACCTTCTTCTGCACTCTTTCCTCCCCCCACCCCCAACTTCTTATCCTTCAGGTTTCAGTTTAAATGTCACTTCCTCAGAAGGCCTTGTCCAACTCTAAATCAGGAGCCCTTGCTATACTGTCTCATAGCACTTCCTATTTAAGGACAGGAAGAGTGTGTTTATGTTTCTACATGTATTTTAATTTTTCACAAAATATTCCAGGCATGCAGAAGTTTAAAGAAAAATACAATGAGAATCTTTGCACCTATCACCCGTACCAATGTGGTCAAAGACCCCTGTGTTCTCCTCCCTTCCATTTTTGACAAACCAGAAGTAATCTCTGTCTTGAATTTGAGTTTGGTATTTATCGTTCACAAAATAATATATAGTATTATTTTGTATGTTTTTAAACTTTGTATAAATGGTATCGTTCTGTATCTATTCTTCTGTAACTTGATCTTTTTTTTTTAAATTTTTTATTTTTTGCAGGGGCCATGCTAATCTTCTCTGTATCATTCCAATTTTAGTATATGTGCTGCCGAAGCGAGCACTGTAACTTGATCTTTTTTGTTCAACATCAGGTTTTTGAGATTCATTTTTAAAGAAAAAATTATACATGACATTTGTTAAAGAACTAAGTATAATGGTCCTATTATATTCAGGACAATCTCAATAAATGTAGAGACTAATGCAATGAAGTTTTGTAGTAGGAAAGACTTGGGCTCAACTTCAAACAAGGAAAAGTAGAAATTTATAGCAAAGGAGCAGGGTGGGGATTAGTGGATGGAATATCATTAAGAGGAAGCATCAGGGGTAAGGGGGGGATTCTGGCTAAATGGACCTAACAGAATTCTTGCTGAAGACAGACCAGGGTAACCAGACATCACCTGGGGGTATAGGTGGAGAATGAGGAACCCAATAAGGTATCAAGGGCGAGGGATTCTAGTTAAATTGACATAGCAAGATTCTTGCTAAAATTGGATAATGCAGAGACTAACACAAGGCCAAGAGTCAGGGCCAAGTTGGGAAGAGGATTCAGAAAAACCTGACTAGAGTTTGGTCAAGGAGAGAATCTTTGTCATCATCCATACTAACAGCTCTACTTTTACTTTCACTGCTTTACATACCACAATTTATTCATCTATTCTTCGTCAGTGCACATTTAGGTTCTTTCCAATTTTTGCTATTACGAATAATGGCACAATGACTATCCTTGTGCCTGTCTGCCTGTGTATATGTTGAGAGTCTGTAGGGGCTATATCTAGGAGTGGAATTACCAGAGTTGTTGTTCCAGCAGCATAAAGGAGGACCTGATGCTCCCCATGCTCATCTACTCTTGTAGGGGTAAGACCTTTCATTGTAGTTTCACTTTACTTTTCCCTGATTTCTAGTACATTTGAGCATCCTTTTATAAGATCCACCTTTTTAGCTCCTAGATATAAGTTAGAACAATATTTGTCTTTCTGTGCTTGGCTTATGTCACTTAACATAATAGCCTCCAGTTCCATCCATATTGCTGCAAATGACAGGATTTCATTCTTTTATATGAAATAAATTCATAATAATGAATAATATTCCATTGTGTATATGTGCTGTATTTTCTTTATCCATTCATCCATTGATAGACATTTAATTTGATTACCTATTTTAGCATTTGTGAATAGTGCTGAAATAAACGTGGGAGTGCAGCTATATCTTTGACATATTGATTTCTTTTCTTTTGGATGTATGCTCAGTAGTGGAATTGCTGGGTCACATGGTAGCTCGATTTTTAATTTTTTGAGGAATCTCCATACTATTTTACATAGTGGCTGTACTAGTTTACATTCCTACCAACAGTATATGAGGGTTCCCCCTTCTCCACATCCTTGCCAGCATCTGTTACTGCCTGTCTTTTGGATACAAGCCATTTTAACTGAGGTGAGATCATATCACATTATGGTTTTGATTTGCATTTCTCTGATGATTAGTGATGTTGAACATTTTTTCATATCTTTGTTGGCCATTTGTATATCTTTTTTAGAGAAATGTCTGTTCTGGTCTGTGGCCCATTTTTTAATCGGAGTATTTGGTTTTTTGCTATTGAGTTGTTGTAGCTCCTTATATATTTTTGTTATTAATCCCTTGGCAAGTGGATAGTTTGAAAATATTTTCTCCCATCCCGTGGGTTGTCTCTTTACTTTATTGTTTCCTTTGCTGTGCAGAAGCTTTTTAGCTTGATGCAATCCCAATTGTTGCCTGCGCTTTTAAGGTCTTACACAAAAAGTCTTTACCAATGTCCTGGAGCATATCCCCAATGGTTTTTTCTAGTAGCTTCAGGGTTTCAGGTCTTATGTTCAAGTTTTTAATATATTTTGATTCGATTTTTTGTGTTTGATGAGATATAGGGGCCTGGTTTCATTTTTCTACATATAGTTATCCAATTTTCCCAGCACCATTTATTGAAAAGACTGTCCCTTCCCAATTGTATGTTCTTGGTGCCTTTGTCAAAGATGAGTTGGTTGTAAATATGTGGATTTTATAGGGTTCTCTATTCTGTTCCGTTGGTCTAAGTGTCTGTTTTTATGCCATTACCATGCTGTTTTAGTTACTATAAATTAGTAGTAAATTTTGAAGTCAGTTAGTGTGATGCCTCCAGCTTTGTTCTTTTTGCTCAGGATTGCTTTGGTAACCTGAGCATCCTTTTAAATTTTTTGGCGGGGGGGAGGGTAGAAACACGATCTTGCTATTTTTCGCAGGCTGGCATCGAACTCCCAGCCTCAAGTGATCCTCCTGTCTTGGCATCCCAACATGTGTGGATCATAGGTGTGAGCCACCATCCAAGCTTCATCAAAGAACCTTGAGCATCCTTTTATATGATGTGATTTACTCTTCTGAGAATTGCCTATTTATATTTTTAGCCATTTTTTTCTTCCCCCACCCTGCCTCTCTTTAGCCATTTTTCTCTTAGTTGCTAGGAGTTTTATTTCCCTTCATTTGTTTAAGTACTGTTCCTAAAAATATTCAAAATGCACATAAAGTACTTAGGACAGTGTCTGGATCACATGGGATGAATTTTATAAATGTGGGCTATAAAAAAAAAAAAACAAAGAAAGAAAGAAAATCCCTAAGAGCATGGTAAAGGTCGATCCCAAAATGATATCTCTGCACAGTCCTAAGGATTGACCAGTTCAGATTAGAACAGATGAGATTTCACAAAGATGGAGTAACTTTTATTTAATGCAGATGGGGAGAAATTTACTGCTTTCTTCCAGTTGTTTTTCTTCTCATTAAATGTTAGCTTTTTAAAAAAAAAAATCACAGGTCTTAGCTCTTTAAACACAAAAATAATGATTCTTGATTGAAAACAGTGCACTGTTTTTTTGAGCTTTAAATAAAACCAAAGATTTGGTATTGGCACATGGCAGGGCACGTATCACAGTTTTAGTCTGTAAACACAGAAGTGCATTAAACCTAATGGTTAACAGGTGTACATCAAAGTACATTTCTAAAAATGATTAATTTCTTTAATATAATTTCACCTTCCCTCTGAAAATCTTCTTGGTTGTTTTGCCTGACAGCTTTTATACCTCCTCCTAACCTTGGCATCGTGCATGTAAACTGTCCCCACTGTTCAAAGGAACTATGCAGTAAACACTGCAGCAATGACTTCCCTTTTTAATGGTTAGTGAACTAATCCCCAAATACGGTTTATACCTATCATTGAAATCCACCTGGATTATAAATGTAATGGAAATTTACTGAGCCTCCATCCTCTCTACAGTGTTGAAACATTTAAAATGAATGGACGAGGACTTGGCTAAGTTTGGAGGGAAACCTGGCCACAGTTTTAATGTCCTTAATTCAATCATGTATTCTGCTCAAGGACAGCCATAAGGCTCTTTTTGTAAATCGTTTTGTCTTTTGAGATGATTTATTTTCAAATCAGTAAATATCAATTTTGATTATTTTTAAAACGCTTACCTCTACTGCCATCCTTAATATTCCTTTAAAGTGCTTTGTAGCCACAAATTCTTTTTCCTGATACGTGAAAACATTTTTTAATACTAAAACTCTTGCTTTCTCCTTCTTGAAATAGTAGACACAGCCATTATTACATTTTCTCACCCACTTTACGCCATGAAATTAATTTAAACAGTGAAAGAAATGAAAGATATAGAAAAAAAGATATTTTAAAATAAGTTGGCTTGCTTTGCTCTCACAGGCAATCTAAAAGCCGCTGATGGCAGTAGCTCAACTTAATACTACTACTTATTTTAAAAAGTGCCTGTAAGTATCAAGCCAATGTGTAAGTTGGTTAACTAGGCAGTTCTAGTCATCCCAACAGCTTCAATAGCTGATCATTTTTGGCAAAGAACCCTGATCTATAAATAATTCAACCTACTTCAATTAAATTCTAGCAGCAAGAATTGTCAAAAATAATATATGATGCAAAATTTATCCAAGATTGACCTTATATCCCAGCAGCATTTCCAGTGCAGCTGATGCATGACTTATGTTAAGTGTGTTTGTTTTATACAGATGGCCACCTGGGGACAGCCAATCCAGCTGGATTCGGCATAAATTACTACATCTTACCCCTTTCTATCCCTGGACATTGCCTTCCCTTCCTCCTGAGCCCTCTGCTTTCTGGAACTACCCCTTGCTTAGGTCTGCAGCTCATACCTGGCCCTACAGCTGTGATTCCCACTCTGGAATCCTTTCCAAGTCCCCAAAGTTCCTGAAAGGCAGGGACCACTTCCTGTCTGTATCCCTAGTGCTTTGTACAATGTCTGGTGCGAAGTAAGCCCAAATGCGTTTATTGAATAAATAAAAAGATATGTTGAGTTTTTCAGATGGCCTGTTTAAAAACCTTCAACTGCAAGCATGAAGTAAAAATGCCAAGTTTCTTATATTTTGTAAACTACAGTTGATAAATTCATCGTGGACATCCTGGATATCTCATTCTAATCAGAAGTTCTAATAAAAGATAGATAGACAGAAGCCTCAGCCTCCTCATCTCTCAGACAGGAATCATAAGTCTTGTCATTGTCAGTATTAAAAGCATTATCTATAAAGGCTAAGCACAGTTCCTAACACACATTGGTGGCAACTAGTGATTTTGAGAATGATGGTGGTACTCAAGGCTGTGGAATAGAAGTCAGTAAAGCCCAAGAATTTTCTGGGAAACCAACTCCAGAATTGGGGTTGGGGTCCCCATATCTCTTTGTCTTCTCTAATCCCCAACTTTTCACATTCTTCATGATCTAGAATCTTGGAAGCCTATCATAATCCCAGAAGATACAATTCTGAAAGCCATAATCCCAAAGATTGAAATCCTGAAAGATCAAAATTCCTAGAGGCTAAAATCACAATCCCAAAATATCAAAATCACAAAAATATAATTCTAGTGAAAAAAAATTTGAAATTCTTTAAAATATATTTATTTACATTTTTTAAAGAAATGTATTTGAAAAACATATAAAAACACAAAAGAACACTTCATAGGCCACTTTATACAATAAAATAAGCAATAGTATCATACAAATTTTTCCAGCATAAACACTCAGGTATACTAATGACAGTCGCATGAATTTAATAGTTATGATAAGATGATTTCAGGATTATGACCCAGATCCTCACCCCATTATCCAGTCTTCCTCTCACCTTCCCCTGTCTTATAGAGCCCTAATTATGACAGACACTTTGTGCTGAGCAACTACTAATTCAGTGCTCTGCCTTTGCTAATTTCATCTTATCCTCAAAATAATGCTTATTTGTTATCCCTATCATTTATGCTTATTTATTACTTATCCTTTATTATTATCCTTCATTATTAATCCTTACATGTTATCCCTATTGATGCTATTGTTATCCCTATTTTATTAATACAAATGAGGAGAGCAAGACTTAGAGAGGTAAATAACTTGACCAACATAACACAGCTAGGAAATGTCAGAGCCAAGACTTCATACCAGGTCAGTTTGATTACACAGTGGGTGCTGATTCTACCATACCACGCTGCATTGTTGTTACTTCCTGAGAAGGAAAAACAAAATTCAGATGATGAAATATTTTCAAATAAACTATAAGTGCTAAAACATTGACTCATCTTGGAAAGCTATCACAGACAATGAAAAGAATTTATGTTTTTTTCTGACAGAAGAGAATCACAGCCTAATATGCTTCTGTTCAACAATCTTCATGTTTCCCTAAGGGAAACATAATTCTTAGAGTCTGGCCATGAGGGTTCACCCAGTACCTTGTCAAGTGGGTCCCAGAGTTCTACCAAGGCTACTGATGACTTTGTTCTACTTCTAGCTGCATTTGAGTAGTCTGTTGGTCCTGTTCGGTATCTCGCAGTAATTTCATGCTTGGCTCATGTCATGACTTGTTTGCAGATGTTAGTCCTCCACAAACAGCTGGTTATATAGAAGTCACTGATCTGCAATCAAAGAAACTCCGGTATATTCCTATTCCCAGGTAATCCATTTCACCTTTGTTCTTAGCTTGGTATGTCATAAAAAATGAGTGAATTCATACCAATAAATGTGTGCTTTTTGCTTCCTTAAATAGCAAGCTCTTTTTTTTTTCCCCAGTTACAGTTGTTTTATATCTTGCTGTTCCTTCCATGTGCTTCAATGGCATTTTTATTTTCATTTTGGAAAAATATTCAAATCTTACATAGTTATAAATCTAACAGGCTTCAAGTCTTTGTCCTCTTTTGCTGGATCTATTCTAATAAGTTTTTCCTGTATCCGAAATAGCATTTTTAGTATTACAGAAATTTTAATACTCATTAACTTCATGTGTTAGTTTTCTGAACTAAAAGTGTTCAAAATGTCAAAGGAATTTAAATAGCATTTGTTTAATATTGTTTTTAAATATGTTCTTGTACATTTGCAGTCATGAAGGCCATACAGTAGCCGAAGGACTCCAAAGATTTAGAATGGGACTCATTACTATTCACTGCTTTTGTTACTGGCCAGCAATGGAAGCAAAGCATCTAACCTAGCTAGACTCAGGATATAAAAGCAGAAACAGTAATGCTTGGTCATTGCCCTTGAGGAACACAGGTGTCCTTACCTGTAGCCTGTCCCTTTCTGGGTGCATCCATGCCTTGTCTCCCTCTCTCAACCTAAGCTTGTGCCTGCTTTGTTCTATTTAACCTAGTGGTTTTTCTCTTTTTTTCCTTTTTTTGCCCACTGGGCCAAAGCCTCCTTCCTCTAATCTTTCCACTCTGCTTTAATCTAGATTGAGGTCACACCCCCTCCTCTCATAAACACCCTCACTTGCGACTGAGCCCTCACAACCCAGCGGTTAAAGCCTTGCCTGAAAGCTCAAGCGGAGCGGCCTAGAGGTCCTTCAATGTCAGAGGAAGGCCAGGGATGGCAAAACCTGTCAGTCTCCTAAAATATCACCAGGCCACCTTTCTTTCCCCTCCTCCAACTTCCAGAATAGAATAGCTCAGCATGATAGTACAAAATAACTCAGAAACACAGCTTCATTTCTTAGGACGCTTTAATCAGATTTTTAAAATATGAAAAGTGAAATCATTATTCAAAGAAATAGATTTACTTACTCCAACAT